TCTATGCCCATATCACCAAAGCCGCGAACGACGAGGCCTGCCGTCGGCGGGGGACGGCACTTCCGCTCACAGCCTGAACGGCTCAGATTGTAGAGCGCCACGTCGGCCCAGAAGCGCTGGCGCGCCATCGCGTATACCGCCTCGTCGTCGGTGTCGTTCACAGCGTAGATTGCGCTGCGGAGCCGGTGGAGAGAGTCGCTGATGATGCCACGTGCGCCTAGATAGGGGTGTGAAAAGTGTGCGGGGATGTGTGTCTTTAGGGCAACGTGGGCTGGGGCGTGTGTCCAAAGGTGGTCACACGCCGCGGCCGGAGCGCACCTGGGCGGGCATTGGCCGTGTCCGAGACCTCACATTTCGTGTCTGTCATGGTGCGCAGTAGGCAAATGCTGAGGAGCCACTCGCTCTGCAAGCCGACGAAACGGAACCCGTTCAGCCGAAATCGAGCTTCGTTAACGCGCTGCGGATTCGGCGCACGCAACGCCTTCGGGCATGGGCCTCGGTTATCCGGCGCCGTGCAGATGATGCCCTTAGTTTCGCCTGCGAGCTGCCGCGCCACGACACCGCGGATGCGCTGCGCGTACCACGCTGCTCCTGCGGGGGTCGGGGACTCTCCACCCACGTAGCAAGCTTAGGGAGAACGGAGAAGTGCGACGGGCCGGGGCGCGGGGCCGGGGATGGGTGAGCGCACTTCCAGATGACGTAAGTGCAGACGACGAGGATGATGTTCCAGATGTTCGTCCTCGCGGTCGAGGCCGCGCCGTCCTTGAAGATGCTCATGCAGTCACACGCTGCGGGGGCGGGAGGGGGTGGCTGCGTGTGTGTGTGTACGGCGCGGGTGCGAGACGGCGCGCGGAGAGGTGCGATGCGGACCTGCGAGCGCGTGCCGGTACGCCACGTCGTCCCTCTCCACCTGGGTCACGGGCCTCTCGGAGACGACCTTGAAGAGGTTGCGGAGCGCGTCGAACATCTCGAGCATTCGCACGAGGCGCGTCGCCAGGTCCTTCCCGTAGCGCTTGATCATCGCCGGCAGCAGCTCGCGCGGTCGGCACGCGAAGTTCGTGTGCCACGATGGAGCGGGGGGCGCGGCGCCGCTCTCGAGCTCCCACTCGCCGATGCAGTAGACGAGCTGAGAGAGCCACGCGGGGGCGCCGCCCGGAAAGCGCGAGTCGCCGAGCATCATCGCGTGGAAGTCGGCGCCCTTGAACCACTTCGTGAGCGATCCCCCCGCCGTGACGTCCAGCTTGACGCCCATGCCGGTAAGGTAGCCGGAGATCCGCGCGAGCGTGTAGGGGCTCAGGTCGCGCAGCACCAGCCACTTGAACGCCTGCTTGCCGCCGTTCAGGTCGTAGGTGTGCAGCGCCTCGGGGATGACGCGACCGTCTTGCGCGCGCTGGTGATCACCGAGAAGGTTGCCGGCACCACGCCCGCCGCGACCATCGTCGAGGGCCGGTCCTTGTTCGGGACTAGCACCTTCACGTCGTACATCGCCTTGAAGGAGCCCCGCGCCGAGAGCAGGTCGAGGGTGGCACGCAGCACCGACTGGGAGTTCGTCGACCACTGGCGCACCTTCGGCCGCGCCTGCGCCTCCAGCGTCCACGTGGGCGTTATGTACCGCCTGTGTTTGCACGCGAGGGAGGCATAAGTGTGTGACAGAGCGCGCGCAGAGAGAAAGGGCGAGGCTCAGCCCACCAGACAAAGAGGTCCATCGCACCCGACTTGGCTACTGCCGACCACGTCTCGGCCGAGCGCTTTGGTGCGCGGAGGGCTACTGCCGCCGCCACACTCATGTTGACTCGCTCCGTACGCAGGTCCTCCTTTTGTGCAGCCGTCAAGCGAACGACGAGAGACGTTGGGGCTGGCTGCGAGGATGCCGAGTCCTCGGCGCGGGGAGCGGCTCGCGGCTCCCCGTAGAAGCGGCGAGGCGGGATCTCCTCCCGGCCCTGAGCCGGCGGCGCCGGGTCGGGCGGCGCGCGCTGCCCCGCAGTTGCTCCTGCCGCCGCGAAGGGGAAAATGGCGTCATTCTGAGAATGTGCGGCCACGCGATGACGAGCGGGGATGGAGTGATAGTTTTCTGGGAGCAGGTCGTGGGATGGGGTGGGATCCCGTGTACCGCGCGCCAGGGTGCGCCTAGCGCGCGCAGCACATCATATCAGCAGAAGAGTGCTACGGCGTCGCACCGCTCTGCGAATTCAGTGCTCTGGGCGGCGCATTGGGGCGTTTCTGCGCTGCCGAACATGATGGCTTCGGAGCCTCCGACGCGGGCGACTTGCGCACCTGCTTGGTGGGCTGCGACGGGACCGCTCGGCCGAGCAGGGTGCGGGGGCGTTCTCGCTTCCGGGCCGCAGCAAGGGCTCTCAAGTCCATCGACCGACTGTTGCTTTAGCGAAACCCGGCTGGGCGTTCCGAAGTGCCCGCCAAAACATGTGGCGCATTTAATAAAATCGAACACGCCCGGGGAGCCTGGCGGCCAGGAGCACGCGGCGCACGCGCCCGGCCGCCGAGACGTGCAGCAGCGAGTCCTCGGTCGCGACGTACCAGGCGCCAGCGTGTCGCTCGCGACGCCAACCGGACCGAGCGATAGAGGGCCGTCCTCGCCCTCGAGCGGCGGCGTGGTGACCTGACCGACGACGCGCGCGCCAAAGATGGGCGCCTCGAAGCCATCCGCGACCGGCACGGGCTTCTCGTCCTCCTCCTCGCCGCCACCGCCGGTGCGGGCGCGCTTGCGGGCGGCGGTTGCCATATACAAACAAAGGTATAAAAATATCCGCGCCGCAGGGCCGGATTCGGGACCGGGGCTGGGTGGGTAGTGTGCGATTTCGTGTTTTTGCGAGACACACACCATGATCTGCTTGAGCACTTGAGCACTTCATAGGGTCGATTCCGCATGGTACGGGACCCCTCGATCGTCTCGCCCTCCCTCACTGGTGTGTTCATTGGGGGGGGTCATAACAAACACGGTACAGGCGGCCCGCCATGAAATCTAGCCGTGTGTGTGTGCTGGCGTCCGGGTCCCAGCGCGCAGCGGGTTTTCACGTAACAAGTACACACGGTACAGGATCGAGGTGCACGCTGCCGAAGCAGTGTCGTCCCCCCTCTCCCCGACGGCGATGGCGGTGTGACCGATCGAGCTACAAGAAGAGCTTGGTCAGCAGGATCCGGGATAGTCTGATGCACTACCTCACTGGGCCTGAGACCACCATGATCTGCTAACAACATACCTAATATGCCCGGGTAGAGCCCCCCCCCCGCGCCCGCCCACCCAGGGAGCAGTGAGTGAGTGAGTGAGTGAGTGTGAGTACAATACTCACCAGGGAACAGGGTAGAGGGCATGGAGGCTTGGACGGTGAGTTGACGGAAATCGAGGGACGCGACCCACTTCGCCACAGACGGTCCCGCGCCTCGCCGCTATGACGGCGACACGGCCGCGCGGCGGCTCGTGTGCGTGTCGCCGTCTTTGTCCGGAGTGAAAAGTCCAACCAACGCGCTCGTCGGTGACGGTGTCCCTCAACCTGTGCCGCGCTCGGCGAACCTCGACAGCGCCTTCGGTGGCATGCAGCTCTTTGCGACAGAAGCCTGGAGAGCAGCTCCTCTGCTGCTCACACGCTCTGCACAGTTGGCACAGCCTACTGTGCGGCTGCCCTGGTCACTTGTGTGAGCGACACTGCTCGACGACTCTCTCGTGTAACGACTGCCGGCACACTGTGAGACCATGGGTGTGAGGTAAAAAATCACGCTACCACGGTCGAGGAAGAGGGTGCGTTCTGCAGTTAAGGGGTAACCCGGTACACGGAACCATCCCTCGGAGACGTGTTATGGCCCTGCGACCGCGCACCCCCGGGGCTAGGGCTCTCTTGCCCGAGGGCTAGAGCGCGCCGGCGGGCGCGCTCTAGCCGGTAACCCGATCCCGATCATCCGGCCAACTGGGTGCGCTCCTCAGCTCCCCGGTCCTGGATGTGAGGCTAATGACCGCACTCCAAGTGCTCCAAGTGCTACCAGCGCTTGGCGTTACATCGGCCCTGAGGTCAAATCCTTAGATCTACTCTGTTGATGACAAGACTTGTCGCTGGAGCCGAGCAGGAGGGCCCGGCGCACAAACCCTGGTCAACTCACCCCCCACACCCCGTATGCGCGAAAAGACCGAAGTGCGCGCGAGTTACTGACGCACCAGGCCACCACTGATCACCGTGCCACTGTCCAAGACCAAGTGCCAGTGCGCCAGTGCTCTCCATGTCTCCTTGCGTTGAAGTTTACCGTATACTGAGAGCAAAGACGAAAGAGAGTGGATATCAACGTCGCGTGCAACACCCAGTCCGTTCCGCTCTACAGGCGCCGCCGTGCCCTCAGAGCTCCTTCTTCTGCTTGTTGACAATCTTGAGGCACCCTCTGCCACCAACTGCTGTACTTACTACCATCTATCAACAGTGAGAGAGGCGGCAACTGTGCACCTACAGAGAGTACACAGAGAGCCGCAACGCGCACCGCACACTCTCTATGCGGTAGGCTCACAGGCACACAGCAGAGCCAGACACAGAGCCTTCACACAATAACGAGTGACTACACTCCCCGTGGGCGGGATCTGAGTGTACAAGCAGCTACAAGGAACTATATATGCTACAAGCATCGCGGCGCCCCCCGCCCTGCCCAGCCCTCAGTCTTCCCCCGCTGGGCACGCACCATCCTCCTACCTCCTAGGGCGCGCCGTCCTCGGTCGCCAAGGAACAGTACACGAGTGCACGAGAGCCAGGCGTGCCACTCTCTCGCTGTCGGATCGGCCCCCTAGCTAACCGGAGCCGTCACCGCGCCTCCGCTCTGCCATGTGTGCCAAAGTCACGCGGCCTCTGTCTTGGTACCCGGGGCCTTCTTGCCGTAGGACATGACGGACGCCTTGATGCCCCAGATGCCGGTCCCGATCTCGCCGCGCGTCGGCGAGTACGTCGGAACAGCGCCGCCTGAGAGGGGGGAGGGGGGGGACGGCAGGGGCGTGGGTGTGAGGGTGGGTGTGGGTGGGCGCGGGAGTGGACGTCGGGAGAGGCCGCAGTGCTGGGTGCTTAGGCTGGGGGTGACCACACCAAAGCGAGGGACGTAGGAGATCGCAACCGAGATGGCGGGGGAGACGGAGAGCGCCATGAAGATGCCGACGCCGGCGGGCATGCCTACACCGGAAGTCCAACAGGTCTCCACGCTCCGGTCGCGTGGGGACGAGAACAGACGTCTCGTGCTCGATGATTCCGTAGGCGGTGGGCAGGAAGCCCAGGAGGAGCGCGCTGAGGCCGCAGAACATCGCGTACCTGCAGCGTGGGGAGATCTGGGGAGATCTGGGGAGATCTGGGGAGATCTGGGGAGATCTGGGGGGATCTGGGGAGATCTGGGGAGATATGCTAGCCGCATAGCATCGCGAACCCCCCCCCCCCCTTCATGTGGCTTAAGGAGGACGAGTCTGTCATGGTGTGGCAGAGGGCAGTGGCGGGAAATGCGGGGGCCGCCCGGGGCACGCACGGGATCTGG